TAAGCCAACAGCCAGCCGCCTAGCGAGCCTGCGTGGCTAGCTGGAGCAGCTAGCTGGAGCAGCTAGCTGCCACGGTCGTGAAGCAATCTAACTTCGGGCGTGGAGACAAGCTTCGGCAGCACGAGGACTTCTCTGCCTGCCGTCAGCGACTCGCCCTCAAACAGAGAGGCCCACGGGCTAGACAGCGCACTGCTGCTGCTGCTGCTGCTGCTGCTGCTGTTGCTCGGGGGCCCCTCTACCGCTGCGAGCGGCAGCCCCCCTGTTGCGGCTGCTGCTGCTGCAGCAGCCGCAGCAGTGTGCGGCATGCCCCTGCCTAGCAGGGGCCCAGGGGGCCCCGAGACAGGGGCCCTCCGGTGCAGCAGCTGCACGAAGGGGAGAGAAAGGGAGCCAGCACGCAGAGGGATTGCAGAGAAGGAGACAGTGACGCTCTTACCCCCCTCCAGCACGTGCGTCTTACACTTTGTACCCGCCTGCAGCAGCAGCAACAGCAGCAGCAGCAGCAGCAGCAGCAGCAGCAGTATATGGATTACTAGTGACAGACGCAGCGGCTACAAAGAGACAAACGACACCACCTATAGAAACAAAACATACAATATCTCCTAGCTCCTGTCTCCTCTCTGTCTCCTCTCTGTCTCCTCTCTCTCTCTTTCTCTGCTTTCTGCTGTCTCCTGTCTCCTGCCCCTCATATACTCACCATCAGCCAGTCGTGGCATTCACCGACTCTAGGAGACTTTGTGGGGCTTTGGGTACCCGCCGAGGCCCTCTGTCTCCGTCTATCGGGGGCCCCCGGGGGCCCCTGGGGCCCCCCTGGGGCCCCCTGGGGGCCCCCTCCCTGCGGCTCCTGACGGTCGAACTCTAGGCATACTCGGTGGCAAATTTCCACTGTCTCCTGCAGACATACAGCGGAGAGGAGACACATAAAAAACTAAAAAAATAAAATAAAACAAAATATCCCTGGTGCTGCTGCTGTTCGTGCTGCGGGTATTGTTGTGCTGCTGTGACTGGGAGGGTGAGTGCCGCTGTCGGTGCTGCTGTAGCTGCTGCCCTTGCTGCAGCACCATCAGCAGGCCTAGCAGCAGCAACATCAGCAGCAGCAGCAGCAACATTAGCGGCAGCGGCAGTAACATCAGCTGCAGCAGCAGCATAATCAGCAGCAACACTACAAGCAAATCCAGCACGAGTATCAGCAACAGCAACATTAGCAGCAGCACCAATAGAAGCAACTCCAGCATTAGTATTAGCAGCAGCAGCACAAGCAGCAGCAGCAGCATCAGCAGCACATGCAGCAGCAGCAGCAGCATCAGCAGCAGCAGCAGCAGCAGCGCACCGGTGTGGTGTTGGTGATGTGCAGCTGCACGAGGAGAGAGCAGCCAACGCGGCCCATGCGGGGGCACTCCACCTCAACCAGCAGCGGAGACGCCCTGGCTGGTAGCTGCAGTGGGACCACGTATGACAGCAGACTGCTGCTGCTGCTGCTGCTGCTGCTGCTGCTGCTGCTGCTGTTGCTGCTGCTGCTGCTGTGCTGCGGGACTGGAGAGCAGCCAAGGTCCTCTCCGAGGTGCCCGTTGTCTATTTCATAGCGGACAACTAAATCATAAAACGCCAAACACGAGCTGCTGCTGCTGCTGCTGCTGCTGCTGCTGCTGCTGCTGCTGCTGTTGAGGCTGCAGGTGTTGTCGCTGCTGCTGCGGCTGTTGCTGCTGCTGCTGCTGCTGCTGTTGCAGCGAGCGTACGACGCAGCAGCGGGGAGCGGATACTCCACCCGCACCAGCAGCGTCTGCACGCCGCCGGGCGGCAGCCGTGTCTCCAGCGCAACTGTCCCTGAAAGGAGACAGAAGAGACAGAGGATGCAATCCTTGCAGCAGCAGCAGCAGCAGCAGCAGAGGGAAACAATGCAGCAGCAGCAGCTGCAGCAGCAGGCAAACATGCAACACTGCGCCCTCAAGCAAGCAGGCAACGCAGACACACCCATGAGCAGCAGCAGGAATAACGGAGAATCTCGCGACAGACAGGTTGCTGCCTCTGCTGAAGCTGCGGCGGCAGCAGCAGCAGCAGCAGCAACAGCAACAGCAGGAGCAGCAAGAACAACAGCAACACCTCACCTGCTGCCTGTGAGCTTGTCTCCATAGAGAGAGGGTTTGGTGGGGCGATGAGAGACACAAGAGGAGCATCTAGCTGCTGCTGCTGCTGCTGCTGCTGCTGCTGCTCTTTGCTGCTGCTAGCTGCTGCAGCACCAACATTACGAGCATCACCGCCCTGCTCCTGTTCCTGCTGCTCCAGTTCCTGCTGCTGCTGCTGCTGCTGCTGCTGCTGCTGCCTGGGTACGATGCTGGCAGACCGGAGCACGAGCTTCTCTGCTGCTGCTGCTGCCTTCAGCAGCACCTGGACGATACGCAGCGCATCGGAGACACGCCAAAAGGAGACAGAGTGCGTGAGAGCAGCACTCACCTCTACGCTGTGCAGCCGCAGCTCCACCAGCTCCGTGTCCCCGCTGCTGCTGCTGCTGCTGCTGCTGCTGTCGCTGCAGTAGCTGGTGCTGCTGCTGCTGCCTGGGCCGCTGCTAGAGACACCATCAGGCATAACTGTCGCCGGGAAGACGCCGAGCTCATGCAGGTCCCCTTTCCTCTCTGCAGCAGCTGCGAGGCCGTCTCTATCTACAGCAGCAGCAGCAGCAGCAGCAGCAGCAGGTGCAGCAGCAGCAGCAGCAGCAGCAGTCGGGAGTCTCTTTCTGCATGTGAATGCGAGTGCAGTGGCTACTGTGATGAGGCCCCGGCCAAGGCCCAGGGGATGTCTGCTGTGTCTGCTGCGGCTGAGAGACTCGGAGACACTGAAGCTGCTGCAGCGGCAGCGCGAGGAGACAGCTGCTACGCCCCCGGAGACAATAGACTCGCTGCTCCGCATCTTCATATCCTCACACACCCCACACGAACCCCCAAACCTCCACTGACGTCGAGACAGACTCTGCACCAGACAAACACAAACGACACCCACAACACACACCTCCTGCTGCTGCTCCTGCTGCTGCTGCTGCTGCTGCTGTTGCTGCTGCTGTTGCTGCTGGTGCTGTTGCTACTCACGCGAGGAATGTCTGCTGCTGCAGCGCCAGAGGAGAGGAAAGAGTCTGTGCTGCGGTAGCAGCAATCGCCTGGCCGCCGCAGCTGCAGCCCGGGGGCCCCCAGGGGGCCCCCCCCGGGGGCGCAGCAGACAGAGACCGGCAGCAGCAGCTGCACGGAAGATCTAAAGGGAGGCAGAGATATCCACCCTATCTCTTCGTCTTCACTGCTGCTGCTGCTGCTGCTGCTGCTGCTGCTGCTGCTGCTGCTGCTGCTGCTGCTGCTGCTGCTGCTGCTGGGTGTAGCCCGAGGGACCGCTACGACTACCTCAGCTCCTTCAGAGTCGCAGATGACTTGCTGCTGCATTTGCTGCGGCTCGAATCTGCTGCTCCTGCCCGCTGCAGCTAGTGCTGCTGCTGCTGCTGCTGCTGTTGCTGCTGTTGCTGTTGCTGCTGCTGCTGCTGCGGAGCCCCGTCTCCAGGGCGGCAGAGGCAGCACGGTGGGGGCCCCATCAATAGACAGACAGAGGGCCCCTTCCCAGTCTATCAGCAGCTGCAGCGGCAGCGGCGAGGAGACAGATGAGCAGCAGCTGCCGCAGTGGGCGTTCATATCAGGAGGTGTTTGCAGGCCGCAGCAGCTGGGGGTCTCCCCCGAGGAGTCCCTCTGCTGCTGCTGCTGCTGCTGCTGTTGCTGCTGCGGTGCAGCAGCAGCAGCAGCAGCACCTGCAGCACCTGATACCCCAGATACCTCATTACTGCTGTCTCTGCTGCTCTCTCTGCTGCTGTTCCTGCTGCTGCATCTGCTGCTAACCTTCTGCATACCCTCAAAAGCAACATGTCCGTTGCCCCTGGGGGCCCCCCCTTTGGGGCCCCCCCCCTGGGGCCCCCCCCAATTGCTGCGACCTTCGGAGGTCTCTGAGGAGGGGGCCCCGTGCTGCGAGGCCGTTTCAGGTGTATCCTGATCTGCTACGCTGCTGCTGCAGCTGCTGCAGTCGCTGCTGGGGGGCCCCACACTCAACGCCTGCAGCACCCGCAGCCGCGGGGTGCTGCCGCATAAGAAGGCCCAGGGGACGTTGATGGTGATGAGGAGAGAAGACTGAGCCCCCTCTAATAGAATGTTTGGGTTGCTGCTGCACTGCAGCATGTCTCCTAGCAGCTGCTCCCCGTCCTGCTGCTGCTGCTCTTGCTGCTGCTGCTGTTGCTGCTGCTGCTGTTGCTGCTGCAGGTGACGGAGGCGCTGCAGCAGCTGGTGGTGCTGCTGCGGGAGCAACGCATCGATCTGCACCGCAACACAGGAGCTGGGGTGTCTATACTCCAGCATGAGGGGGTGCAGCAGTCTCTCTATAGCAGCAAAAGGATGCAGCAGCGTGGCGCCAGCAGGAGAGCAAGAGGAGACAATGAAGGCCCGGGGGTCTCCAAACAGCCGCACAGCAAACGCAGCAGCAGACAGCTCATCGCCACCGTCCTCGCGCACATACAGTGGATTTGAAACTGATCGAGCTGCTGCTGTTGCTGCTGCTGCTGCTGCTGCTGCTG